TTTGGCCCTACTCATTTAACATTAGAAGTTGAAACGTGGATAGATCACGCAATTGTGGCAGACATGTCTAAAGTACTAATGCATGATTAGATACCTGTTCAGCGAGTATCAAAGCATGACTTGCTATTTATGGTAAACGTACGTATAAAACGTCATAAATGCCTGGGTGATCAGTTTAAAATGCAACCAACAACAGGCCGAGCGAATTGCTCTGGCAACTATGTTCCGGTGGCCTCCTGCGGAATCAAGCAGGTAAACTGTCGGGAAGTACGATTTAAAAAAAATTAACATTTTTTTTTAAAAAAAAGTAAAAACTGTATGTAACTTATGGGGGAGAAGATTATCTGCGCATGATTTCTTGAGTTCCAGAATTCCTTCCCGTCATTTTAACTTTAATAGTTGAGCGATGAAAATTTTTTTTTAAATAAATAAAGAAAAATAAATTTTAAAAAATCGCGAGATTAATAATATTCGAAGAACAAAATTTCTTTTCCGAATTATAGAAAACTGATTTGCATTAGTAAACGAATTCCAAGTATGATTTTTCTGCATAGCTAACAAAATAGTAACTCGCCCTTACCTCTACTTCTAGCATTACATTGATCCCCTCTCCCCTAATGCCACCCAGAGGAGGAGAGCAAGCAGGTGACCGTCGTGGCCACGAGTTCAAAGAGAAAGGCACGCGCGTGTTTGTTTGGCGTCGAAAGAAAGCTGTAGAGGTAAGAACAGGAATACCTTCCAAATTGTTTAAGAGAGAAATAAGCTTGCCATGTAAAGTATACATTCAGAGAGATTTAGTAACAAACTTCACTTGTTTTTAGTTTCACGACAAATATTGTCCAGAAATGTACAAAAATTTTAAACTTGCTATTTTAAATAAGTATTAATGAATTATACAGGTCAACCACGAAAAATCGTCAGAAATAAAACTATGTGTAATTTACAATGTATCCCTCCCTGATTCCAAATTTTTACTTTCAATTTCTCTAGCACGTATTATTTTTGTGATAACATGGTTTTAATATTGCGAATGTTGGAATTGTCCTCTTAATTAAGGATCTACCTACTCCACAATGAAATATCATCGAAAAAGAAAATAAGTGAGGTTTACTTAGTGTCATGCCATGATTACAAATATGTGCTTAGTTTTCTCTAACATGAATAGTTTCTGAGATTGACCTTTTTTACACGGTGACCGTGCGAATCCCGTACGGCAAAGCCGTTCCTTCAGGAATTGCTGTTGCTGGGGATGAAATGAGCTTTCATTTCAAAAAGCATATCTCAAAACAGATAAGATAGCATAGTTGTCTCTATTCGCTGGAGAGTTACGTGTTGTCAATAGAGCTTTTTCGAATGTCGCCTAGATATAGACCAGTGTTCTTGTTGCATACGGAAGTGCGGTTGTCCCTATGCTTTTTGTGTGTGTTACCAATATTACCACCGAAATACTTCAAAAGTGTAAAGATAAACCAAACACTTTTTGCTACGTGTGTGGTTTTCATACAACAAAAAGTCAGCGGCGTGAAATTACCCCAGATACGGAAAAGGCGTATCATCTTTACTTTTGTTGTGCAATAGGAGACCGAGATAAATCAGGAAATTTTCTTTCACAAATCGAACGATAACGGAATGGAATAATCTGCAAAATCTTTGAACCCTTCCCTCGAAGCGTTCATCAGTTTAGGAAATTAATTTAGGGTATTACGAAGTAAATGAGGGACTTAACTGAGAATAGTATGTTATAGAGCGATGCGTAAGTGATATATTGTGAAGTGAGGTGTCGTGCAGTGTCGAACAGAGAAATAATGAAGGAAGTGATTAAAGGGTCATAGTGAAGTGCAATGCAGTGCAGTGCAATGTGGTCTTCATTGAACAAACATTCAGTGCGGAGTTAGATTATAGAAGTTTCGTTTTCTTAAGGTAATTTAATGTTTTATGAATTAGACAGTTTTTATATTGTTATTTTATTATTAATGTTATCATTATATAATATACATTATTATATTATTGTTTTATCAGTTGGTTTTTTGTTTCTATGATTATTATTGTATCATTATTATTAATATACCTAAAATGCAAATTATATATCTTATTTATGTAATTAGCTGCCACCGGGTTATGCCCAGTTGCAATTTAAATTAATTAATCTTATCTTAAATATTGGTTTGCATGACTGGTTGAATAAACGAAAACGCTCAATGCTATTTGCAATACCCATGGTATGGAGTGAACCAAATTACCATGTTGATGACTGCTATTTTTGTTGCAACACTATTGAAGGTCGAAAAACAAGCAAACAATTGTGTATTTTGATATGCCATAAGCAAGGATAAATCGATGTCGGAAATAAGCGAAGCTCACAAAAATTGTTCAAATTCCTTCCATATGCTAACAAGGTTTTACTCGCATTAAAACAATTGCTGCAACCCGATGTAAAGTTCCTTCGACAATCATGCGAATCTCGATGTTTAAGAAACACCTGAATGCCTTTCTTACAAAGTAGAATGCATTATTTTACAATTTATATCACTGTAGATTACCAGTTGGCAAATCTAATCCATTATGTGTACTTTACCTTTACCTTAGAGATTTCAGGAACGGATTAATATGTTTTAGAAATAATATTAATGTACTTTTGTTGAATATGCACGTATTTACGACTTGTTTGTTACAGCTAGAATTGTATTCATCCGTGGGTGCAAACGCGGAATTAGGCAAGACGACAACTGGGTACAGCGAGGACAGCAGTCCAGGAAAACATTCCGAAGACCATTTACTTGTTTAGCTTAGGTTATAATTTCATTAGGACGCAGTATGCCTGTTGGTTTTTCCCACATTAACGGGTTTTCCTCCAGGGTCGACTTCAAATTTAATTTCAAGTTTTATCTTTTACTTCCGTTTTCGTATTTAAAATGCTTTCAAACAATATTTGTAAATCTTTTACATCTGACCTGATTTAACTTCAGATATTCTGTTTTTATTATTACATTATTTCCGAAGTGAAGGTAAACTTAAAAACATTAAGTTATTAGACCTGGATCATGGGATTTTAGGAGTTTGTGTTGCAAAAAAGTGAAAGCTGAATCCAGAAAATACTAATCAACATGACATGCTTAGGTACGTCACGGGAGGCGTGAATCACTCACACGATATCTACTTTGAAAGGGACGAGGGTGACAAATTGCCAAATACTACATCAATCTTGGCGCGACGTAATTACATATACGGATCACTCTCAGGAGGCAGAATGTAAATTGTGTGGGCACATAAGACCGGACGTTCGACTCACGACACAAGAATTTTCAATGGTGCGCCAATTGCTGTATCCGATGAAGGTAAATTCTCCAACATGTTAATCAAAGCACGTTATACGAAAATATGTTTAAAAACGATGTCACCTGTTGTCAAGTTCTGGGCGGTATGCAACATTTAGAGCACCGTGAGGATGATTTTCGTGTAATAACACGTTAGTAAAAAAATAGTACTTTTAAGAAAAATAATCACTATTAGAATGTAATATGAACACAATCTCATCACGCATCTAACGACTTTTCTTAGCTTCAGTGAGCATTCAATTGGTACGATTTCTACGTTGCTTAAACGACAATCACAATGAGGGGTGGAGCCAGGCGATCATTTAGGAAGGGGTGTGTTACACTTTTGTTAAATAATAAACACATTTGTCATTATATTGTATATTATTTTTATAGTGTATATGATATTATACAATATTTTTTAAATAATTACGTAATTCTAACATAAATATTTAAATCAATTTTGCCTATTAAAGGAAGGCAACAAACGAAAACTTTAGGCCTTTTGCGGGGGGGGGGTGTATGTCCCCCTGGATCCGCCACTGATCACAATGGAGACAATTTAACATTCGATTAGTAGAAAGAAAGTGTGCGTGTAAAGTAATATCCGTTCCCCAACTTGTGTTGCCCGCCAGCCAGAAACGTCTTGCCGCTCATCGCCAACGGCCGTAAGGATCGTCGCGGAGAGAAACCTCGGCCCCTCGCGCCTTCCAGTCCGGTGGGTGTCCATTGGCTCCCTGCCGAGTGTGTCGGGCGCGCTTCGGAGGAGGTCGCACGCTTCGCCATCTGGGGTGGCGCGGGAGGCGGCCTTCCAGCTGGATGTGGAGCGCTGCGGGCGGGCGTCCCCCTCCCCTCCAGCCACCCCACCCCCGCCACCCGGGTGACGTTTGCCAGCGCTCGGGCCGCCGGATCCCCGTGCGCGAGGGACTACAAATGCGATCCAACGAAATTACGGATAGCCAGTTTCGCCATTAGGAACAACAAAACATCGATTTTCAAGATAAGATCATCGATTTTCAAAATTAAAATGTCGATGTTAAAAATACATCGCCAAAGATGCCATCAATATTTTCAAAGGAAAGTAATATTAATTTTAACAATGATATTGAATGTATTAATTACCTTTTGAACTGTATAATTCTAAATAACTTGTAACAAGTAATGTACCCCCATCTCGATTAGGTTTAAGTCCAGTTACCGGATCCATTGCTGAGATGGCCCCTTGTTTTGCTTCTGGACGTAAATGTAGCTTCACTATGCGCACGCTTAGTTGAGCTCTCCTTTTGCTTACAGTGGTAGGAGTTGAGCCGAAGGCATTGGTTACTATTTTCTTATAAATACTAACGACTCAATTCTCTAGGTCGTTTACGAATGCAAAAAAAAAGTCTATTACTGGGGAGCAAGAATGTATATTTTCAAATGTTACTAACATTGCTTTGTTGGTACTTTTATTCATTATTCTGCTATTTAGGCTTACGAGGTGGGGGATTCCAGAGCTAAAAATCTTCTTAAGTTAGGAAGGGTGCGAGAGAATAGTGCTTGTCTCACAATTTCTCGGATACGTGCGTCAACATGGTCGAGTCGAATCTTGTTACAAGTAGGTTACAGCTTCAGGAAACCGAGAGAACTCCGTCGCAATTGCGCAAAAAAAGATGATAAGCGCCGGGGGGGGGGGGAAGAGGGGTGCAGGCAAACCGCTTGCACCGCTTCCCGCGCGGTTGTGGTGACCGCCCAGCTGGCGGCGCCACCGCCGCGCCGCGCCGCGCCGCTTCCGGACTGGGCCCCTGCCACTTCCGCCAGTTCATCCGCTGAGTCAGCAGCTCGAGGCGGGAGACTGGACCAGCGAGCTGGACCAGTCCCTTCACCCCTACATTACAAAGGCGGCCTGTACCAAGCGTTATCACAAAGGCAAAGTTTGACAGACATTGGGTAGAAACGACGAAAAAATCATTTTTTTTACAATGATACACTAAATTTAATGGAATGATGTGGAGTTACAAAATACGATTTAAAGGTTTTTATTTCTACACCTTAATAACTTAACTCTCACCGCACACACATGCTTGGTGATGTCCTCACATGGCTTTTAAGAAGCGTCCGCAGTAATACCTCGTCATGCGACCTTTGTTATGATCGCCGTCGTCCCATTACGATTGCTAAATGTTCAGAACAAAACTTAAATGCTACAAGACAAGATATTCATTATTCACAATATCAGGCAATATAGCGCTAAAAAACCAACTCACGTAACTGCAAATGCGCGGTCAACTGCACGTGGCGTGTTGGCGTACACCGGAAATAAGCACGCACACAAGGTTACGTGTATTTCACTGGCTAGGCACACAATGAAGGTACCTAGAGTTTCAGAAACCGGGAGTGAGGGGAAGGGGGTGGGAGAAGCTTTCGGCACTAGTTGCGTCGCCTGACAGACGCCACCTTGGTAATCTAGGGTTAACCCAACATAACTTTGTGCGTCGTGTTCGTTACCGTAGAATCATTGTTAGGGCCCTTTAGTAACATCGTAAAGACAAGTATATTCAGTATTTGTCATCCAAATAAAGCATCACATACTGCAATAATGTGAACAGCTTAATGCAAACCCTTGGATTAATGCGCCATGCGATTAAATGGGTCTCTTCGTAGACGTGTCAAAAGTAAGACTGAAAACCATTTTTTAATACAGCAATGGATCCTCACTCTGAATTGGTAGCAGTTTTGGGTCCTGTTGGCATCCAGTAAACTATTTTCGCTTATTTACTAAGATTCGAATTTTTTAGGGGAATCATTAAAGCCATACTTGGAGTGTTTTGCTAACGCCTTTGAACTTCTTTCAAGGCAAAATTATACGAGAACAAAAAAAAAAAAAACACTGCAAACATTCAGCTTAAATGCTATCGTTGGTAACACCTTTTACATCTTCATTTAACCGCTAACTTAAATTAACCTTTAACTTAATTTACGTTGACCTCTTTCTAATTCACGTTCAGACTATTGTGCCAAGCGAATTGTACGATATGTTTACGATACGCTTGCTTAATTAATACGTTTCTGCGCGTCAACTCCTAAGGTCATTAGTCCCGTACGTGAACTGCATGATTTTATCGCAGGAGTTAGCAAAGGGGTGAGGATGGAATAGGTAAGAGGAAGAAAAGATCGCATGCGATCCGTGGCCCTTTTATTATGGTATTGCTATGGCATTCGTCTGGTGTTGATCGGAGAAACCACGGAAAACTACCGGTTAGAGCAGCCCTCTGCTAGAATTCTCCTCCAGGCAGCGGCTGAACTCGGCCTAGCTGTCAAGTCAGTATCGAAAATTCTGCCACCGTCAGGACTCTTAACTGTAGGACCTCCCGGTCAGTAGCATTGCACACCATAATTCCTAGTTCGTAATACATGTCCTAATTACAGTAACATTACGGAGAACTCCTAAGTTACGTTGCATGTCTATGAAGCGACGCCCCTCCAATGAAATGCAGAAAATGACTTCAAGGGAATTCGTTGGTTTTTGCTCATAATGCCTTCCGATGAATCTTTAGCAGCGTACACTTAATGCAACGTAGAGAATCATGAGTCACCTCCAACTTTAAATATCTCGTAATCTAAGATCTCGGCATGGGGAAGATCTCCTTTCGAACACGGTGACACTGTCAAACATTCGATATTACCAAAACCCGCACTCAACAGAATACGTTCTAATTCTCATAGTTATCGCCATCGCCTTCCGTTTAGATTTCTCCTTCCCTTGTTACGCACGCACGCAAGACAGAAAATGTATGCAAAAAGCTGCTTGAGAACTCATCTTGGTGCGATCCCGTCTCCGGACCCACTTTCTCTAATTACCCCATTATAAACCGTTTCGCGGGCTGCAGAAAGCAATTCACAGTCGCTTCGACGCTCGCCCCACCCCAGTGTAACTGCTACTCTCTGGTCCTCAAGGAAAAGAAAGAAGACCGAGCAAGAAATCAAGTACACTACAAGGTATGAAAATAAATTTAGGAAACATGCCTTTTGAGCATGAGCATATTGTTATCTATTTATTGTTCAACACCTGTTAACACGAGAATAAAAGGCGTTGACTTTACCATCATTATTGTTTATAATATGACTAATAGCAGCTTTCGATGGCTAAACGTCTTCATTAGACGTCTCCTGTTTGGAAGATGAAGTACGACTACCTAGAATTTCGAAATATTAACAACATAATAAACAATAATGACAAAAGATCAGCCCTACTAAAAATGACAGCAACACATCAAATAAACTAATATTTTTAATATCATATAATTATTGATTCATTATGCGCAATCGGCGACTCGGTTAGCGTGCTCGCTTTCCGAGTTCAAGTCCCGACCAGAGCAAAATTATAATTGTGCGCGTTCCTTACAAATTCCCCAGCATACATTGCTGTGTGACGATGAGAAAGCCCACCCTCAGGTGAATACGGTGGAGGGATGTCTTCGTGCTAACCACAAAAACCCCTTACCCCATATATCGGGCTGTCGAGCCAAAGGGCAGGAATTCATCATACTGTAACGTATTAGCCAGCGTGCCTCATGGCATCTATTTGGGGACGCTTGGTAGAGGATTAGCCTCGCCACAGGAAGAAGGGTTTTTCCGTAAAGGGAAGAACGCGGAAACGGGAGACACAAGGCTTTGGGAGTCATCCGGCCTTTTCACTGTTATAACAAGCGAGGGGGTGGCGTGACGTAATAGGTCACGTGAGCCTCGCCTATATAACAGAGTGTACAGAGCCAGTGGGTGGGTTCTGGAGACAGTGGGAGAACCTCGTGCATGTGCACAAAACTTGGCGCCACGACGGTGCATATGCGAGCCAGGCTCGCGAGGCTCGAGTCACTAGTTGACGAAGCCTGCGGACTTTAGGTCCTTGGGTGACTGCGGTCACGGGGGAGCGATGCTGTGTGCATGCTCCGAGGTGAAGTGGTTGAGTGCCACGATTCACGCCGATTCTCAATCGGATAAGATCGCTCCTGCGATCGAGGCAAACCAGCCGTTGGTGCGCCAGAACGGACTTTGTGTCCCAGCGTGACATCCGGTCACGGAAGCTAAGCTTTGTGCGCGCTTCAAAAGTAGGAGTGGCGAATGCCACAATCAAAACCATCTTCAATCGGGTTTGGATCGCTCCCGCGATCAGGGGATAGTAGGTCTATCAGAGCTAGGGTGTAAGTAGATTATTAAGTGTATATATTTGTTTTGTTTTCTTGTTAATAAATATATTTGTTATATGAAAGCTCTGTGTCTGTGGTCGCTGTGAGTATCCATGACGTCACAATACGAACTTTTCTCTCTTCTTCCTTATTTGTATTTTTTTCTTCGTCTGACTTCAACTCGGTATCATGTAACGCAGTAACCCTATGATGCTGCGGCTCAGACTTCTTTCACAGTATAACTAGAGAACTTTTAAATCAGATCACCTACACCTAGAGTTATGAGCTGGAGATGAAATGCGCGATACTGTAGGTGCGATAAAATAAGCGTATAGAAAACACCCATGTCCAAGGTAAAACTCAAATACGCATTTTATCGAACCGAATCTCTCCCGCCTTGCCCATGTAAGCAATAGCCACTTTTGTAAAATATGTTTCCAATTAATCTGCGACCTCTAGTGAAATCGCAATTTTGAGTGTTTAGGAGTTTAAAAAAACTGAAAATCAATTAAGCTCGCAGAGATTAAATTTAGCGCACCTCCCCCATTCGGGTATATGTCTCCCCCGTACGTATAGAGAGATTACTGTAAGAAGGGACCGCTTTGACAGCTACTGGTTGGCCACTGCTGGCAATATAATTGCAAGTTACATCCATGCGCGTATTTTGTCAGTGCGCATGTTTACAGTAAGCTCATTTCTAAATGGATTCATCACTATCTCTTACAACAACATCGCCCTACATGACCTTCATTTGCTTCCCGACCTATCAAAGTGGTCCCTCTTTAGAGTAACTCTTCCAAACGTCTCTGTGTCCATACGCAACTCAAAGCGTCAAAAACGTCCGGACTCCTCTCTTGCTCGCACGTCTTCCTATTTGTATAACTTCTCTCCGAGTAACCGGTTGTCAAAACACGAGGTAGCGACATCGTGTTTATTACGAAAATGCGATTGAGTTTGAGTCCCCACAGTAACGAATACTCCCGATTACTTATAATCGTTAACATAGAAGTTCGCGCGACGAAACTAATTGACCACTGGCAGTGTTTTTAATTTACATTTAAGATTTAGCTGATGAAATAAATTAAATAATAACGATAAGAACAATTAACAAAACTTTCTCCGAAGCCTGAGCTCTTCAGGTCAGAAAGCCCTCAATTTCTTGTAGAAGGGGAAGGCCCTGAGCCTCCAGGGCATGTGTTTACTTCCTCTCCTCGTGCAAAATACGAGAAAAGACAGAAAATAGGAAGCAGAGTATCGAGTTCATCTGTCGGACGAGAAATAGCCGTTCGAACACACGAACTGAGAGCGGTATAATCAGTTATTTCGCATTTTAACTTTTGTAAAATTTTGATTGTGGTACTTTTTCACAAACAGTTCCATAACACAAACAGTTCACAAACAAAACAGCGAAACAGTAAGAACATCGCGCCCAAAACTTGGATATTAAAAATTATCAGCTTTAATAAGTCAACTTTTAAAAGTACATTTCTTTAAAAATATGGACATTTTGAAAACATCGACATGGATATCGCATCTCAATCACGAGTCGTTCGCGACAGTTTTAACCGACGAGTGGTGAACACTCAAAGTAATTCAAGTGTTTATACATTTGTCAGAAATGAAACTAAGAGACATAATAAAACAAAAGAGTGGTTTTTCAAACATCCGAGCAACGCGCATCATGTGCTGACGCATCATGCCTCGGTTTTCAGCCTGCGTCACCCACAATCCACTGTCGCACCCGGCCTACCCCGTACCAGCGCGTGCGGTGCGCTCCCCTCGCCACGCCATGCCCTTCCGGTGATTTCCTTCTGTTTTCGATGTCGAGGGTGAGATGATGTGCGGGAGGCGAATGAAGATCACGCTACACTCGCCACATGAATCACTCAATCAAGCAGGCAAATAAAATATAATCAGAAAATTAACAAGGAAAGCCTATATATTTATATATGTATATATATATATATATATATATATATATATATATATATATATATATATATATGTATATATATGTATATATATACATATATATGTATATATATGTATATATATTTATATTTATATATTTTATACCAATATGATTCTCTTTTAGTATAGTACACTAGTTGTCTATGGATATATTTTAATCAAAATTAGGGCTTCAATATTTGAAAGTCAACTGTATTTTTGTATAAATCAATTACTCATATCCATATTAGTCTTTGCAATACTGCATCTCATCCTTAGCAACGTTTCGGAGAACCTCTCGTCTTCCTCTTCAGGCTGTATTTCGTACAAAAAATGTCCAATAACACATACATTATCTTCCTTCATTCACATACTAAACCTATATTGAGAAACCAAATATTCGTAAATCACCTTAGACAAACAATATTTAACTTACCTAACAGGTATACATCTAAGTCAAACTCTTATTTCCATGAAAACATGGTTACGTGTCAATTATCATAACATCGACCCAAATCACATACCATAATTAATAAGTAAACATTAACATAACTTATACACATTACAGTTATCTCAATTTTACACTTGGACAAAATCAACAAAATAAATTCAAAGAAAAGTAAACACATTAAAAAGAACTCAACACACTACTGTACATCTCATAACAAACATTAAGACATATTAAAAGTAAAATCTACTCACATATTTTTATCAGGTACACAGTACATCTTGTCAATTATTGGATATAAACCGCATATTTATATACAGCGCACATATTACATTCTTAACAAACAAGTTCAAATTGACTAGAAACACACATGTGAGAGGTTGTAACCTATTCTGATTCTCATCAATGTGAGCAGGGGATACGATATCAAGGAAGTAAACTTGTATGCAAACTCTTTGACTGAACTTCTATAACCTATTATACACAATTATTTGTTCTCAAGAGTTCCCATTATATTGTCGTAACATTTAGTATTAGATTCTACCATGGAGTTTATCGTATTGTTATTCTTTATATGGAGAGTTTCGAGTACAAGTCTTTTCCTTTTGCTAGGTTCTACATTTAGACCGTGAGCTCCTTTGAAATCAAACTTATGGTATTTATCCTATGACTGGAGGTAGAGTTCAACTGTTCATGAACTTTACTAATATTCATTTTATGTTCCTTGCCACGTTCCTTAAGTTTCCTACACTTTGACCTATATAACATTTATTGCAGGATTGATATTGTACCAGGGGCGGATCCATAGACGAATTTTGGGAGGGAAAATTCAAATTGTTTTCGTCAAATATATGAAAGATTTTATGAAATGCCATATTACTTTTTTGATTAGTAATTTTGTCGACAATGTCAATGTTATATTTCTCTTTAAACACCTTATCCTATTTGTGATCTTAGGGAGATACGGTAACATAATCTTTGTTACCGTAAGAAATATTTAATATAAAATAAATATAACCGTTTATAATGATCTTGATCATTATTATCTTTTATCCCATCATTGTTAACACTTTTTCTATCCTTGTAAAAATAGTTGTAAAATTACTATTGATCAGGATGGAAATAAAATAGGATTTAAATTATTTACCAATAACGTGTAAACAATTCTAGGTTTTTGTTATGAAACATTATATCACATAAATTTAGCATTTTACCTACTATGATGCCTTTCTTTATTTTGATAAGATGTAACGACCTATAATTCAATAGTACCCCTGCATAGACCTCCTTATGGTACCAATCTGTGGTTATACATTCTTTTGTCTTCATCCTCTCCTCACTTTGAGATCAAGAAAGTTTAACTCCTTACTCCTTTTTCTCTCATGTGAATTCTATTTTGGAAATGTAGGAATTGAATCTATGTAACACCTTAAGGCATTAGCAAATGTGTTTCAAAACTGGCTCCATTATTTTTTTATAAATATATTTCCTGTAAGAGTCAGATTTTCATTTCATTTCACTGAATTTTCGAAAGATTCAACTTTTTTTTGGTACCCTACATCATTATTTAAACTGAAGAAGTTGTAAACACAACAGATTCTTTAATTTTGGTACTTTTCATGAAGAAATTTTAATAACTAAATATTTTACTCTTTAGCGGTACTCTGCACTTTTCTAACATGTACTATTCCTAGGGTATTTTAGGACTCCAAGCTCTAACCACAGCTGAGAGTGTGAAACATAAATATAAATGGTAATGAAAGGAGTGTAAATTTGTATACACAGATAACTGTGAATTATTTATTGGCATTTAAATTTGACATTTTTTCGCTAATATTGACTGCGACTGGCCGCAAGATTTTGTAGGTTTCCTGTTGAATGTATTAATTATTTATTAAAATCTACTTTTACTTTGTGCTTGGTTACAAGAGCCGTACGAGATAGACGCCAAGAGCCGCTCGCGAGCCTTCTTGTGACCATTTATATATTACAACACGTGTCATTTTGCTTAATGAACTCTGTTAAAATTTCCAAGAACGTTCCCGCCTGAGTTAGCTCAGAGCCAGCATTATCGCTCCTTCTGCAGCAACTCTGACCGGAAGGTCGTAGGATTCAAATCCCGACGGCCTAAATAGATAGAATACAACCGCAATTTGGAGGAGAATTCTAGCAGCCGGCTGCTCTGATCGGTAGTTTCCCGAGGTTTCTCCGATCAACATCATCCGAATACCGGAGCTGTACCCTAGCACAGGGCAGTGTTAACGCACGGGCCAAAAGGACCAGGGCTTAAAGCACCCGATAGTTCTTAAAAAAATATTCAAGACTCAATTTTTCAAAAGTAAAATAAAAAAACGTAAAAAAAAGTAATGCATGATTAATCTACACGCAAAAAATTGTCATAACGGTGTGATTCTTACATACTTATTTTTACAAATTTTTCTTTGCATAATCTTAAATTGAATCACCAAGAAATACTTTGAAATATTTTAAAACATGCAAAAAAATACAAAATTCAATGGAAATTAATAGGATTTCTTTATATTTCAGTATCTAAACTGGAGGAGACCGGTGAAAGCAAGAATGGAGGGCCCTAAAATGACCCTAGGTCCAAGTGCCCCCAAAGCTGTTCAAACGGCCCAGCCTTAGCAAACAGGACACGGAACGCGCGCTATCTTCCCTTCGTCCCCTCCTCTATCGTTACACATACACAAACTTACATGTACTTCACTATCACACATGTCGGGAGAACAGTTGCGAACTTAACGCTCGTTCTTTTATAGCTGGATTTCATCATCCAGTAAAAGAGGACCACTGACTTTTAGGCGGCCTCTCTGCCAACGACGCGGCGTCACTCGGACAGCCTAGAAGTCATGAACTCGAGCCGCGGAAGCCTACGTGTACAAAGAGGACCACCGCCACCATGAGGATATAACATTCCCAACACTAACCCGACTCGTGGCCATAGTAGTCAATGTGCCCGGAATAATCAATCTATCCAAGAATGTCTGGCTTTGCCAGTCCGGATCGTTAACGCAGTAGGGCCGAAGCGATCTCGGACCGAAGGGTCGAGCGTTAGAGTCCCACCTCGGGCATGGTTATATTTGTGTTCGTCCTTTCGCCCCTCTCATCACTGTTACCGTACCGTTGATGCAATAGTGATCGCTTATGACATTTAAAAAAAAAATAACTAGAGGACCCATTGAGCACCGCCTGGCACTGTGCGTGGCGCTGAGCAAGGCGGCGGGAAGGGGGCTCTGACGTGCGCGCACGCAACTCACCCTGTGACAGACCGCCCGACGACCCACTTCTCTAGCGGCGGCGGTGCCCTGCCCCCTGCCCGGCGAATAGCGTGCGCATGCAAATGGGTAGCGCTGACTCAACGGGTCGCGGGAGCTCCCCGCCCCACCGCTAAGGGGTAGGATCCACCCACTGCGCAGCCTACGACCAACTTGGGTAGCCTTGGGTAGTAACGAAAACGTTTTGTAATGCTATGCTTTCTCCCTATGCAGTTGTGAGAAAGTTATGTACCATTTAAAGCTGTATTCTGCTAGCGGTGGCGCTATGTAATGCTGCGCGAAGAAACAACGAATTTCCGGCAGAAGAATTCTTATTACAGGGCCTAGATACAAACAAACAAAAAAAAAAAAAAGATAAATCCAGTTGTTAAAACTAGAAAAAAATCCTCTATCGCGTGGTGTAGCCAGAATCCATGTTTTCTGGATTGTAGATTCCGAAAAACCGAATCACGGTAAAACGTCTGTTCGGCTGTGAATAATGCTAGCGGCTAAACCGTGCTACCGATTTTCTCCACAATTGATATTCCCCGATCGATCTAGCTGATGTTGTGGCCTCTTGAATTTGAAACCTATATTTGAATTTGGGGGGGGGGGGGTGCTTTACATGAAGTCACTGGGACACTTAAAAAATGGTTCCATTTTTTTTATTTATTATTATTATTATTAGTTAGATTCTTAGAAGGACGTTTAAGAGAATGCTGCATATTTCATGTTGGTTGAAAACCCTGATTTTGAAATAAGGACATTTACAACTTTTCGAAAATTCGTGTGCTTTTCGTGTAATTTTTCGTGAAAATACAGGGGAGAAAGTAAGTGCTGTTTTAGTTCCGTTAGTTTTACAAAAAACTCTAACCGTCGGACCCTGGTAACGAAAAAGTGAGTAAATCTTGATCCTATGTGTAGTAAATTACTTTATCTAACACAGTGTGTAATCGGAATCTGTGTTTTATGGGTTCACGACATCGAAAAATGTGGTGGTGGCAAAATGTCTGTCTAGTGCCTAAACCGTTCAGACGATATTCGCAAAAATTGATATTCTTCCAACGATCTGGACGAACTTGAGACCTTGCGAGTTTGAAACCTATATTTTTTGGGGGGTACTTTACATTAAACCTTAACATTTTCAAAACTTTCTCAAATAAAATCCAAATGTTTGGATTAAACTTCTCGGATAGCGTAAAAGACGCTTAAAGGAATGGTGCAGGTCTCGTTTTCGTTGAAATCCCCGATTTTTGTAAAAATGTAAAAGTTCTAAATTGCTCGTCTTCCTACAACTCTGATATTGCCAATAGACTGTTTTTTCCAGAATTCTTTTCTTCAAAGAAAAAATCTTTATATAAGGCCAAGCAGAATTTTTTGAAACTATGAATATTTTTCAGTAATTATGCAAGAAATATAGGCAATTTTCAACAAATGTTTTCTCAAAAACAGTTCCAATATTTTTTCTTCAATTTTGGTGAAGATCTCATTTCTCTGGATTTTCGAATATTGTATGTACTTTGGCACAACAGCTCTTTACGAGCTAAGACCTATCTCCAACGTCCCGAACTTGTTTTAAGGATTTTCGAATATTCCAAGAATTGAAAATACGCGAAAAGTTTTTGTTGAGTACAATAGTAAAAATAAATTAACCAAAATGTTCATACCCAATGCAACAAAACTAATCAAACTCCCGAAATTTCAATTTAAACAACATTTTGGATTCGATATCGCAAAATTTAATAGTTATCAATGAATTATTAAAACACGCTTTAGACTGCAAAAAGTAGAAATTGTGCTAGCGGTAAAAATCCTATTTCAGACGGGCTATTAAACTTAATTACTTATATCCAAGCGAAATCTGAGAAGATGTTGGCAAGTTACAGGCAGATCCGATATTAAATCTAAGCTACACAAACTTTCTCAATTAGTAAAATTCCAGCTAGAAGCTCAGATATTCCAGATTTTAACAATTTTTAAAACCAACGAATACATATGCAGCTCATCTTCGCTCAAGTCAGACGTAGCACAAAGGACATCTGAAATACCTCCCCTGAAAATCAATAATACAAAAGCTTACCCAGACGAGGAAAGAACCGAAATTTTAACTGACCACTAAGAGCAAGTCTTCCGACCACATCCTATTGCAGAGCCACCTCACAATAATATGGTTGAAAATTGTGCAAGTTTTCGAAAAACTTGAACATTTGAAGTCATTTTAAGTACATTAACTCACAAACACAATAGTGTTTTCAAATTACTGGAAATTTGCATTTCAATAGCGTGAGAGATCTTTCAAAAATTTACATTTGAGTAATTTTTGAAAAAACAAAAAAAATACACCGAAATTAATTTTACGTCATATTAAAGAGTGCAATAACCACTATCCGTTCAAAATGTTTGAAGAACAAATTTGGAGCCATTTTTGAAATAAGGCGCTTGAGCGTTTCTGGAAAAGCGGAGTTTTGAGCTAGTTTTCACACAAAACGGTAGAGTTCTCGAGAAACTTTATATGAAATTATTTAAAGAACATGTACTCATAAAATCAACACTGTGAACAAATTGTTGTACTATAAATATTTACAACATGAGAGGCAAGTCAAAAAAATTAAATTTTTGTAATTTTTGAAAAAACAATAGTATAGAGCAATATGGCGTTTATGTCATCTTATAGAGTACTTTTAGCACTATACCTACGGTTTAAAGAAAAAATATGGAGACATTTTTGAGAAAATCTTGTTTTTGTAAGTTTTTAAAATTGCACATATTGCACGACAACTACTAACATTTTCAAAAAAAGGTAGATGACCTTAATGAAAGAACTCACTATGGAGAACAAATTTTATTTGAAGGAAAAATCTCTATCTTCAATTTTGTAGTTGTAAGAAGACGCCCGAAACATTTTAAAATTCTCGAAAATTCAGGGTTAAACCTGAAAATCGGACATATACCATCTTTATAAGTGTATTTTACTCTATTCTTACAAGAAATTTAAAGAAAAAATTTAGAGACGTTTTTGAGAAAATTTTGAAAATGCCTCAAAGACTTTATGTAAAGTATGCCCACATTTTAAAGATTTTTTTCAAAATCTCAAAGATTCGACTCCAGCCAGATCGACATGGGTTTCTTCAATTTGGAAAAATCCTACGCATGGTTTAGGCACAGACACTAGAGTAACCGACGGTGGGACGTTTTGAAAAGAAAAAAATACCCTTTTTCGGTACCAGGGTACCCCAAACCGTGTATTTCCATCGAAATCTCTAAAACTGGTGCCGGTCCCATTTTTAGCAAACACTCTGCATTTTTGAAAATTGCTAATAGTTAACATTGCAAAAGTAGAATATTGAATACGTTGATTTTTGTTTTAAATGAAATGTTCTAAAAAAATCTAATTTAAAAAAAGATGATTTATATTTTTTTGCATCATTTGTGCTTGAATTTAATTTAAATTACAAAAATAAATATTCATTTAAAAACAATCATACTTCAAACAATTTTCTTCATTTTTTCCCATAAGAATATAACAACGGACGATTAAAAGAACAATGAAGGTCTCATTTTCGTTGAAAACATTAAATTTTTAAAAATTTGCAAATATTACTTTTTTTAAACACTGTGAGAAAGTATGTGCTGTTGGAGCTCTATTAGTTACATTTGTGTTATGCATCACAAATGAAAAAAAACATACCATGTTTTTAATTATGTTTAAATTAAAGGTGATAAAAAAAGATCATATGTGCTTCATTTAAGTATCAGCTTGCATTTAATGAAAAGCGAAAGGTAACTACTGCAGTCCAGCCTTTTGGTTTGAATTTCCCTAACAAAGATACAAAGGATTTCTTGGAGGATTTGTCAGAATAGTGATGAAAGCAAACATTCCATGAACCTAACTATATTATGTTAGAGAATGTTAGTTATGCTTCAGAAACTTGCTAAACAAGTACATAAATAAGGATAAGAAAAATTTATAGGACCAATTTAAATGCATTTTTTTTACACTTTTAAATGCCAATTTCTAGTTTTTTGTGCCTTTACATCCGGAGCTTACCTGTTAGTAAAAACACTATTGTATTCAAGTCCTTGAAAAGGCCACACAGTAAAAAAAGAAGCAAATCAATGAAAGAAATTACAAAACTACAATATAAAATACCACTCTTACCATTCGCATAAAAAAATCTTATCAGTGAAAACCCCATCAAAAATAAGTTCATTTGAATTTAAAGAAGAAAGTATTTTTTAAAGTTAATGTTAAAGTTATTAAATGTCATAAGACCTCTTTACAAGATGGGAGAATTATCACACATGACAATCAAACAGATTTTTGATAACACTTTGAGAATTTAATACATGTCACTGCAAGTATTCTACGCATCATGAAAATGCATCCTGGGAAACAAGGCAGACTGTCATGGCAGTGCAGTATGTGATGGATTTTAGAACATCTGATAAAAAAAAAAATATATATATATATATATATATAACAGCTGACTCCAAAATTATTACATGCCTAATAATACTTATTTTGAAAAAGTGGATAAAACACATTTATGCGGTGAAAAGAATCTATTTTCTTAAACCAGCAGGCGATAAATTACTTTAAAATGATTTCTACAAACCTCAATATATAGTAAAATTAGGGAAAGAACTATAACTATTACAATCTTCTTTCCAAAGATTGTGCAGATTCAGAAAAAAGTATCCAATACGTCCACATTAGACTCTTTAAAGGAAGTTGTAAATGATTCAAAACTACGTTTGTTTTGCAGGTTTTTGCCCTTACCTACATTTCAGGTTCTGTATTTGTAACATACCTTAAAATAGAAAACATTCCGATACATTTCAACAACACTGCATAATAATGAACCAATTACCATGTACCACAACCATGTACTACAGCTATTTGGCACAAAACACAAACAAAACAATGATACATAATCTATCTCCCTAATGATTAGAACTCTTGATTTTAATTCAATATTGAGTGTTCAGCCAACATAGGGAGGAGAATATTACAATTTGAAGTACTTTTTCCTAAGGAGATAGAGAAATTAACTTAACTTTTTCCTTTTTTCATTGGTCTATATCCATAAATATTTTTAGTTTTTTACTAGTCACATTAGTTACTAGTCTTAATTATAAGGATGTAACTCCTGTACTCTTACTATATCCATATAATGTGAATAGAGATGTGTTAAACTGGGTTAACACATACTATTGTTATGGAAGACAAGCTCAGTGCAAAGTTTACTGGGCAGAAAAACTTATTTTAGGAATAACCGCAAAGTAACTATTGGTCATTATCTGACTGGAGTTACTAGACAAAATTCCTAAATAATTTACCCTTATAAATTTCATAATTAACAAAAAATAACCTAACAATACTTAGACGATGCCATCTAACTGCATACCATTACAAAAAATTTAGCAAAATATTTGTATACAACTGATTTTCATGTAAATTGGAAACTGATAGCTACTCCCATTTTCATATCCACCTTGCACCAAGTTCTACTGTAGGCATACAAGAAATTCATAGGCCACTTCATAATTTCACGTTTTATTACACTTAGGAATTCACATGTTTTCCGATTACCCCTTCAGGTATTTTTAACAAAAGCCTGTTCAAAACTGGTTTATCTTTTTGCTACAAATAAAGTAAACACTAGATTTTACACTTTACAATGACATCTCTCAACCCTATGGAACACTCCAGACTAGCCCTAGCTGTAAATCCCAAAGAATATTTCTGTATTTTGGAGACTTGCAATAGCAAAAACCATCTGACCAGCTCTATTACAATCCTTTCCCCCTACATCAGTTTTTTACTGTTTCCTTGAGAATGAATTAACCTAAATTTATAAACAAGACAATCTCATCTGAAATTAATCTTTACAAAAGATTTTTTTTTCATCACTAAATAAATTTTAGAGCATGTCACCTACATCCAAATATGATGGGACTGCAAAATTCCTTGATTTAAAATTTTTAAGTGAATACCAAAGCAAAAAGTTAATGTATATACGGAGTCAAAAAAACTTAATTTTATTACTCTCAAAATTTGAACACTGGAAATAAATCAAATGTAATATTTAAGGACTGGATAGAGGAAAGGAAACTAGGAACAATTAAACAGTCAAATGCAAAGTAATTTGCCAGCCAATTTAATAAATTCTGAAATGGCACAAAACTCCAAACAAGCAAGTAGAAATAAATTTCATACCAGAATTTACATGCAAAACGTTTTTCACATCAGTCTTTACACTGCACATTTTGCCACATGGGAATGTTTTTTTTACAGAAATCTACAAAAATAAAGTAGAAAATTCAACATAAGCAAAATGTTTGGCTAGCCTAGTCATGGATGACAGAAAATGAAGTAAAAAAGTGCAGTTTCTCCTGTTTTCTCACAATTGTTCGAATTTTGAACAATGGTGATAAAACAGAAGGAAGAAGAGAGTTCAGTTCGTTTCTTTTTTTTTGACATTTAATTTTCATCAACCTCGGCCTCCTGTTCTTCGTCGAATTCGGCGTCCTCGTCGGCAGTGGCTTCCTGGTACTGTTGGTACTCTGATACCAGATCGTTCATGTTGGACTCGGCCTCTGTGAACTCCATCTCGTCCATGCCCTCGCCCGTGTACCAGTGAAGGAAAGCCTTTCGTCTGAACATAGCGGTGAATTGCTCTGAGATTCTCTTGAACAATTCCTGGATGGCGGTCGAGTTTCCAATGAAGGTGGCCGACATCTTCAAACCACGGGGCGGGATGTCGCACACGGCAGTCTTCACATTGTTGGGGATCCATTCCACGAAGTAGCTGCTGTTCTTGTTCTGGATGTTAAGCATCTGCTCGTCAACTTCCTTCATAGACATACGTCCTCTGAACACAGCGGCGACTGTCAGGTATCTGCCGTGTCGTGGGTCGCAGGCGGCCATCATGTTCTTGGCGTCGAACATCTGTTGGGTGAGCTCGGGGACGGTGAGGGCACGGTATTGTTGGCTGCCGCGGGAGGTCAGAGGGGCGAAACCGGGCATGAAAAAGTGGAGACGGGGGAAAGGTACCATGTTGACAGCCAATTTCCTCAGATCTGCGTTCAGCTGGCCAGGGAACCTCAGGCAGGTGGTGACTCCGGACATTGTAAGAGAGACGAGATGGTTCAGGTCGCCGTAGGTGGGAGTGGTCAGTTTCAAGGTCCGGAAGCAGATGTCGTACAGAGCTTCGTTATCGATGCAATAGGTCTCGTCTGTGTTTTCTACAAGCTGGTGAACCGACAGAGTTGCGTTGTAAGGTTCAACGACGGTGTCTGATACTTTGGGGGAGGGGACGACTGAGTAGGTGTTCATTATTCTGTCGGGGTATTCTTCTCTGATCTTCGAGATAAGGAGTGTGCCCATGCCGGATCCGGTGCCACCGCCCAAGGAATGTGTAAGCTGGAAGCCCTGAAGGCAATCGCAGCTCTCGGCCTCCTTGCGGACAACATCCAACACGGAGTCTACGAGCTCGGCGCCTTCTGTGTAGTGACCCTTGGCCCAGTTGTTTCCGGCTCCACTCTGTCCGAAGACGAAGTTGTCGGGCCGGAAAATCTGTCCGAAGGGGCCTGACCGGACGGAGTCCATTGTGCCGGGCTCCAAATCGACCAGGATGGCACGGGGCACGTATTTGCCACCGGAGGCTTCATTGTAGTACACATTTATTCTTTCGAGCTGGAGGTCTGAGTCGCCGTGGTAGGCGCCGGTGGGGTCAATACCATGCTCGTCGGAGATGATTTCCCAGAACTGTAATCAAGAAAAGCCGATTTAACGCTTTGGAAAAATGTTTAAAATTAAAATGAACACCGCCTTATTAACAAATTCGACACTCCTTTTACGCTTTGAAAAAATAAAATGAAAACCGCCTGCATTTGCATAGTTGCGCCACAAAAAGTTTTCCTACCTATTTATTCGATACACATCACCGTCCTAAAATAGACTTGACATCATGGCATGTTGACAGTTTGAGAGGCTGGTGTTAAAATTCACGGAACTAATGTCATCTTACCACGTGCCAGACACGCCCGAAGCTGAATCACGCGCTTCCAGGAAAGAGTACGGTAGATAGAACAGTCATTTTCCGGGCAACAAATAGGATATTTTATAACATTACGTTTAAAGAGTTAAGGTAAATAAATTGAACGCGTGTATTGTACATTACTAATCTTTGCACGCCTATTACAAATTCCCCATAACAACTTTAACAGCAAAATTGTTATAAATTAGAATTGTGAAAAAAATTCATATGACCCACTTTCGTAAAGCAATCGCGTGTTCCAAATGCCCATCCTATGATCGATTGCGCGACCTCGGCCAACGCCCTGCGCCCCCCTCCCCCATCACACCCGTCAACGGTCTGGAGGCCGCGCCCGCCGAACCGACGCCGCCCTGACGCCGGCCGGCCCGCCCGCTCAACCGCCTCCGACCGAGCAACGGCCGTCGGCGCCGCCGCACCCACAGCTCGCTCTCGCATCGCCAGCCTCCCGCGTGGCCGCTTTATCTGGACCGCGACCGGGCGGGCCGCCAGCCGGCGCACGGAAATCTTCCCCTCTGAACCCGCGTTCGTTGAACGTGATTCCTAAAGATGGTACCGCGCCCGGGGGCAATCACCTGCTACAACGAACTAAAAACGCACTCCCGCCTATCCCACTGCTTCGCCACAAAAAAAAAAGTTCCGAGATTAGACAACGGAAAAAAAACACGAAACTTCATTAAAACTATATCAACACTGCAGCATAAACCGTAGCATAATAAAACCCTCGACAATTTGGTTTGCTTTAAGAATAGCATCCCCCGTCCAAGTGAAGCATGTTTGCAAGCTGCAACGGTCGTTTTGACCGAGTCGCGGAAGCCGCCATGTTGCCGGGCGACGGCGACCGCCACAGGCAGGGAGGGTCGGCGAGGCCAACGGCGCAACGAGGCCCCGGCGAGGGGGGCTGCACACCCGCCACCTAGCGATGCAGCTGCGCCCAGGCGGCGGCCGTTCCAGAAAGTTCTACGTACGGTATGTACAGCGCCCGAAACAATCGCGAGAAAGCTTTGTTCTCGCATCGATTTATGCTAGTGTTGAAAATAGTTTTACTGCGAAACCGTGGTGTTGCTACATTCATATTCAATGTTTTTTTCGTTTTGTTGCGCAGCAATTACCTTACACTAGAAGTAGATAGTTATCACAACTCGGCTGGCTGAGTTACACTTCACATCAAGGTCGTAATTAACAAATATGGAAGCCGCTAAAGGGTCAACTCCCCCTCCCCTTCTTACAAACTACGCGCACTAGCCGGGAAAAAAGACCACTTTGCCGACGAACTAGGTAGCCCGATTGCACTTACAACCCCTTTCCCCCACTAATAAATATGGCAAATATTTAAATAAGAAACTAATTCAAAGACGTCTTTAGAACTTCAACTGGTTATCCGTTAGATCATTTTCATACGATCACAAGTTACCGAAAAACATGTTCTGTCGCAGCACCACGTTTCCGCGAAACTTGAAGCGCGTAAAATTTGCACAATGTCGTTGTACTCACCTTAGCACCAATCTGGTTACCGCACTGACCAGCCTGGATGTGAACAATTTCCCTCATTTTTGATGTGCGAGACTTGCGTACGAACGATACGTCTGACACGCCTGCCGCAGCTGAAGTGAACCGTTTGCACTCGGATGCCGGCTATGTAACGGATTTTGAAGGCAACGGCGAGCCCTCCCCACCTCGATTCCCATTGGTCGGCGGCTTCTGTCGGTTTGGAATGGCGGGGAGCGATGCCAACGTATGTGTCATCACCCTAAAACACGGCTTCACTGTGTTGCCGCAGGGATTTGGAAAAACCAATATAAAGTTCAGTTATCTAGGAATATGTTTTACCACTTTGACGTCAAAACAGTATGCGAATATAATATTTATCAATTATTGATAATTAGTTCTCGATAATTACACAAACACATAATTGTTAGAAAGATTTTAATGGCCTCAGAAGACCGATTTCTAAGACAGCTGATGCTATTCTTTTTTTATTTTCAACCGTGACAAAATTTGAGGTTCAAAGTATTGCGAATAAGGATAATTTGCTATACGATAAGATGTGATTTCAAATTGGGATTTCAAACGTTAAGAAAATTTCTTCCGTGAAGGTTGGCACACTTCCCCCTCTCTTCGTGAGAAGACCACGGAATAAATTATGCGGTAAGCTTGTAGTGGGGGAGTCACTTCTCCAGCTCCACCGCTCGAACGTATATGGAGAAAATAACGAAAACCCGTGTCTCCTACGCCCTGCAGTACCCACGTAGTAAAATCTTAGCGTAGGCAGGACAGGATCTGCTGCCGGGACTTATATGAACCATGGGCCGAGAGATGCTGGGTGGTTAAAAACGAAGTGGAAGATATTTAACTTTTAAACATTCGATCCTACCGGAGTATAAGCGAATGTCTTTATGGGAAAAAATGATTATTAACTCAATCATTTTGAAATAATGCTTTTCGGAACATTTCTTCAGATTCGTATTGTAGTAAAAGATTTAGTTCATGGAATACTATCAAGAAGAAATGTTTTAATATTATCGATAGCTTGCGATGATTAATACAGTACATATCTTTAATTTAATGTCCAGTTTAGAATATTATTTACGCGTATGTCATGAATGGGTTTTATAATCTTGAGGTAATATTACGCGACTTTTAACTAATTACGTAACAATACTCGGTGTTTTAAGCGGTTGCTTACCAATGTTTAATCATACAATGTTACTGTAACCGGATCTTTTATTCATTACGGTTTAGGCTGTAATGGTTTTAGTGCAATAAACACACCTTCTTGTGAATGGAACGGCTTGTTTTCTATTAAGGACATCGCAAAATCTTCAACAAGGTCTCTCAAATAAAATGTATTTTCTGTTAATTACCAACTCTTCGAGAATTAGTATTTGTTTCTTACAATTACTTAACATTGAACATTTAAATTAAAAAAATATTGATTAGGTTAAGGATTGAGATTTTTTGAAGGATTTTATATTTACTGCTGTTTCGGCTGCTCCATTGTTGTTGAGTGCCAATGTGTACACCTGCAGAAAGAAGAAAAAAAATGCTATTACCCCTAGGCCATGCAATTCGGGAACTTCCATTACATATCGATTTAATTATTATTCGTAATGATTGTCTCAGTATTTTAAAATGAGAATTGGATTCCAATGGGCAATCAAATATCTTTCACATTAAATAGCCAATTTCATGTGTTGATCTCGGTCAGTTCGTTGACAGGTCCTCCGGCCTATTTGAATGTTTTTGTGTATGAAGTTTTGCTCATATTTATGGATTGTTTCAGGTATTGCTCTAGCACCATAACATACAGTTTGCGAAAATGAATATCAACGAAAATGAAGTCACGAAATGATTCAAACAAAACAGCCCTTTGTCAAATATCGCCATTCACAATGTAATACCTCTGTATTGTAAATTATTATTTCATTAAGATTTTTCAGGGAATGAAATTCTACATATTTGTAATTGAATTATTGGAGACGGTACTTTTTTAAATTTATTTCCCAAAGGTTAATAAAAAAGATAATCCGTATTCATTACATTCAAAAAGAAATAAAATTACTTTTTTTTAATGATGATTCGTTTTCGTGACCCGTCGCATTTTTCTTCCTGACCTTTCTTCTCTTGGAAATAAATCGGATTAGTTAAAATCATATTTATTATTGTTTCTTATTTTATTGAATATAAATATTATATTATTTTCGAAATCCTTGTGTTACATCACTTTCGTGTAGCTCGTTCTTGACATAGCCTTAAATTTTCTTGCTTTGTTATGTTCTTTATTGTTTTTTAATAGTGTGGAAAAAGCATTAATTAACTGCTGATTCGTTCTTTCCTATTTTTATCTTCAGTGCACAAAATAAAATGATTATGATGTCTCTTCTTACTTATTAGCTCGGAATGTTATAACGAGCAACTTTACTCGTGGTACTTGGCGATGTGTAGAATATTATGAACTGGTGGTGAAATGGAGGAGCCTCCACTGAATAGCTAGTGCTAGGGAACAAACCGGTTCCTCCTTGGCCATGTGTTGGCTCTGCACAGTTGCCGTGCTTCAGGAAATGTTCCGTCCTGCCCTTCTATATGGTCTCTAGCCCTGTCATATCAAACGTGAAAAAAAATCGTAGCCTTTCAACTGTCTGTCAACTTTCAGAATAAAATCATTCTTCAATTCTTCAATTATTCTTAATTTTAGATTTGAAATGTTTATAATTGTAATTAAAATTAACTGCACTAATATTCATTACCTTATTATGTTCAATAAAATCTTAATGAAATGTAGTTACAGGGGAGTTTGGTAATGTAATTTACGTTAAATTGCACCAAAATATTCATTAAGGTATCTGCGCAATGCCTTGTTGTACTAATTTTCTATCTTATTTTTAATGTATACAACCAATAAGTGATATCAATGCTACGTTTTATTCATAAATCATCAAATTTTTGGCCCGTGTTTTTTCTTTACCTATATTCGGAAAGTAAGTATAAATTTGTGTTAATAATAATAATAATAATAATAATAATAATAATAATAATAATAATAATAATAATAATAATAGTGACTAATAATCTGGGGAGGCTCGAGCTATCAGACCCGCTCTTCTGCGTAGCAACGTAATGTCAATTACGTGAATTCAAAATTTAATTAAAATATTTCTAATTTACATTATTAATATTATAATAGATAACAATAACATGTCGCGCCGCTCGGCTCACAAAAGCGGAAATATCGTCCCAGTATTCGCCTTAAGCGGCCGGGATGATTAGTGATTTCGGGCGCGTCAACTACTAAGGTGATTGATCCTGTAAGTGCAGTGTATGTTTTATCGCTGGATAGTGCGATCCGGCGCCGACCTTCCCGTCGACTTGCGGGGTTTTCCCGACCAGGTATCTCCCAGCAACGGGGCACGTCGCGCCCCAGCCGGGACAAGCTCTAAGCTCCCGACCGGTCTTCCGGCATGTACGAGTAAATGTGTGTGTGCAAGTAAGTGGACAAGGAGGAGGAGAAAAAGATCGCGCGTGGTCCGTGTCTTTTATATTAGGGCACGTCTCCGGCATTCGCCTGGTATTGATCAGAGAAACCACGGAAAACTATCGATCAAAGCAGCTTTAATTCTCCTCCAGACAGCAGCTGATTTGAACCCAGTAGCTAATGTTGAAAATCCTGCCACCGCCGGCAATGGAACTTTAGGGCCATCAGAGGCACCGCAGTGACATCCGTTGATGCCCTGAGCCACCTCGGGCGGTGCGAAACGAGGCTCGAGCCTCGGTGAGCGGCTGAGCGCCGCCGGGGCGGGCTTGCGTTGGTTGGGGCGCCGGCCCCCGCCCGAAGGGGAGGCCTCCCTTTGTCCCGGCCGCCCGCCCCACCGCACCGTGCTGCTCTAGGTAGGCGGGGGGG